ACACACACACACACACACACACACACACACACACAGTCAGGGACTCTATAAATCACACTCCTCTCTGACTGCAAAGGATGCAGGATTTTTGCTTCCCTGAACCAGAAAGGGAGCTCCCAGCCCCCCCTCCTTCTCCCTGAAAATACACAAACACACAGTGACATGCAATCCCTGAACCCAAGTGCACACAAACACACACACAGCCCCTCCAGGTAGCATGCACAGAGGAGGGTGGTTCAATCGTGATGAAAGATACTACGAAGCTCGGGGGCTCCACACCAGCATCACAAGACCTTCTCCCATCTCATTTTCAGTGTGTGCTACACGACTCACACAGGGAAGCCAGAGCCGTTACGCAACCTTCCCCCCGAACCACTCCACCCCCAGGAAATATTATTCAACACACTTGTCTGCAAAAAAAAAAAAAAAAAAAAATCTGCTGAGCAAAAACGAACAAGGCACCCCCGACACAGTTCATCCATCTCTGTCGCCCCGGCTTTCTGAGCCTAAAACACCAAACGCAATCCAATAACTCAGCTTTCTCCACTATGTCAAGCACGGCATTACAGAGCATCAGCTCAGCGCATAAGCAAGGTGACTTTAAGGTCTCCGGCTCAGGCCACTCATCCATTGCTGTTCTCAGAGGCATTCCTGAACAATGCTCGTCTTTAATTCAGGTGAGAACCAATACCCGACTTGGGACTTCCCTGACCCACAATCCTTTGCAATTTGAGAGGGTACATATTCAGTGTCCCCATTAATGTGCCTACTGGGATGTCTCAGTTACCAAAACAAAAGCAGTGAATGCATTTTCTGGATCTTCCTTTAGAACACACACAAAGTCTGAAAAGACTTGGGAAGGAGGCTACTTCTCCTTCCTCCTTTTCTTTACATGATGACATCCACCCTGTTACGGTAACACCCTTCCTTGTATCTCAGGTATTGTGAAATAATTTAATTTTACAACTTTCACAATGTTCCAAAGCAGTGAAAACTGTGTTTTGTACTGTAACTGTATTCCAAGCAGTCTGCAGTGGAAACTGGAATATCCACAACCTGCACCGGGTCTACTGGCAGCAGCCTGCTAGTGACCAAAGCAATCACAAGAAGGATTGTGGTGCAGCACTGTACACCTCTTTGTGACTGATTTCAGCATGCAACAGCCAGCAAAAACCTGCAATCGGTCAGAGATCAAGATGATAAAAAAGATGGATGTAGCTTTGTGGAGGGAAAACTATAGCTCATCAGATGCCACCAGATGGCGATGGTTGTGATTGGAAAAGGGCCTTAATGTCTGTTTACAGAGGTCAAGGCCTTTCCTGCAGAGTGGACTGTCACTCATGTTGGGTCATATGAGTGCCTGTATAACACCCTGGTATTTGGCTGCAGTATAGATCACATGCTACTCATTACAGTTAAATAGTTACCATGCTGTATATGGAATGTATCCAAACCTGTCAAACAGGTCAGCCAGCATGATGACAGAGCAGACAGCTATTACAAGTATTTAAAACGATGTTATTAACATCTCCAGAGCTAAGAGAGTACACGGGAAAGCTCACAGTTTTAGAGACCAGAAAGACTAAAGTCTCTTCCCGATGCCCATCTTATGAGGAAGTAATAAAGTTGTTTCTAACAGAGGTGTTTTAGCTGTTGGCTGGGCAATGAACCTTCATAAAATCAGATAATGCTATTGTGGATGGTGAACTTCCTAGTGCAGATCCATGCTGTGATAGCATTTTACGCATTGCACCTTTAAGAGGCAGCAGGGAGTGGGTGCTGTGGGAGCAGTGGGGTCAGAAACTCGAATCTTCAGAGGTGCAAATAAGATTAGACGATCTCAGAAAGAGCTGTTTGTCTAATTACAGGGTGTTAAAACAAGGGGGAAGTGAAGCTGTGTGGGACAGTTTGGAATAACTGACAACACTAATAAATGCATCTTTATAAAATCCTGCTACCCAGCCAATATATCAGAGTTTGACATCAGTATAAAACTGAGTTTTATGGTGCAATATAAACATGATCTAACAGCAGAACTACAGCGGCAGAGAGCGACGGCTGAAGCTCACAGGCTTCTGTCACGTGTTCAGTGGATGTATGACAAGCAGAAGTGTGTGACGGCAGATTGGTGAAGGTGTAGAATCTCAGCTGAGGGGCCTGCACTCCAGATAGGATCTCCTCACCACACATTAACTCTAAATAATGTTCTCAAACCTCATCCACAACATCCACCATGGATTTTTTTATAGTGGTAAGAAAAATCCAATGCAGAGGTCACAGAGAACAGGACTGTGTACAACACTAATACCAGCACGTCAGATCTCTTCCTTCATTTTCCAAACATGACTCCCTTGTGTAACGTTCCCGTTTCCTCGTAATGAATTGTAAATTAGAAAGAACATCAGTCGCAATCTCTGAGAAATAGCATAAACCTTTTCCTCGTGCTTCACGACAGAAGGCAGAGGCTGGAGGGCAGCACGGCGATGCAAGCTTCATTTACAAAGGCAGCTAAACACTTCTGCCCCACGGATGAGGAGAACTGAGCAGTGAATGCTGTAAAAACTGACAGGAAGTTCATCTCCGTGCAGACTTCCAGATACCACCAAGCACAGTCCCCATCTTTGTCACACACACACACTGTGGTGGTTCCACACGGAAGATGGAAATAGGCACATGTGAGAAGTGTCAGTGTGAAGGAGACCGTTTTTGCTGACTGCATGACAAAACTAACATCATGTTGTATTGAACATGGGCTCCCCCCCCCCTCGTGGACTTCAGAAGAGACCCCCTAGTGGTTATTAAAAAGAATGCAGGTGTGAACACAGTCATCGCGGTGTGGAGCAAAACAACCGCACAGAGAGCCTCGGAGAAGGTGATCTCGGTGTGGCTCCAAACGAACTGCAGAGGAGTTTGTTTCCAATCCAACTAGTATGTATGCTGATAATATGCTTTTTTTCCTTTTGTGTTTGTTATTTATTACATTTTTCTTCCACAACACATTCATAATACATTTTTAAAAATACAGGTAAGTATATTTTGCATGTGGTCATCATTTTTTCTATAAAATCGCAAAGGACATCTTTCACAGTTTACTGCGCACGGTCGTCTTTTCAGCCCACATTTACTTGACACTATTACATGTCAATAACTTCTGTCTGATCTCTTTGCCTTTGCTTATATAAAAGGAGTTCTTCCTCCCTGCTCTTGCCAAGTGAATGCTCATAAGGGAACTGCCATATTGTTTGGGGCTCTTCATCTAATCTTGAAGGGTCTTTGTAATATAGATTTTGTTCTTGGCAAAGAAAAGCAAAGTATCTGAACTGAAAAAGCAAAAATCAGTAAAATGATATTAAAACCTGACAGTAAAGTAAAGGTGAGCTACTCTCCCATATTCATTATTACAGTAAAAAATGACAAATTCCTATATTTGGATGACACATCTGACGAATATAAATGTGTCTCTACATCCTTAAAAACGATGCTCCCTGTTTTGGTTTAAATCCACCGCCTTCACTCAAAGCGTAACAGCTCTCAGCGAGGTTTGGCTTACGAATACTCTCCAATCACAATCTGTCACGAGTTCATTACCATATGAAAAGTTCTAAAGGCACGAAGGAAGCAGGACTCGCACCGCCAGCTCCTCATCATCGGTGACCCGGGCGGACTGACAGCTCCGAGGAAGCGGCGCTGAACAAACAGACACGTTTCCTGGAAGGCTGGGAGCTCCGTGGAAGACTAGAAGCTGACCGTCAAGCCATTTTAAGGCAAACAGGGAAACCCCACGTCAGTCACAGAGAGGTTCGTCTGCAAGTGCAGCCGAACACATCCAAACGAGAGCGGCTGCGGCGTCCAGCAGCCCGATACGCTTTGACCCCAGAGCCATTCAAGCGACCACAAACCCCGCTGCACAATAACGTTTAAGACCCGTAAATTACGCAGTCCGGAACATGTAAAGTGACATCTGATGAGCTGACAACGTAAATAAAAGCTGTACGTACATGAAACATCCGGTGCTGGACGGAGAAGAAGCAACTCACTGCTGCTCGTACGCGTCGCTCATCTCTTGCTCCTGCGTCTTCTTCTTTTTCTGTAGTGGCGTTTTCGAAAAGACCTTTAGTTGCATTACCGCCACCCTCTGGAGCAGAGAGTAGCTCAAACCAGCTGAACCACGGATTTCTCCTCATTCTCTAACAGTCTCATCGCCAAAAACACAAACAGATAAAAAAAAACAAAAAAACTGTGCGCATATTTGGTGTGGGGTATTTTTTATCACCCCGTGATCGTCGGCCAAAAAATGATTGCCCGTATTTAAAGTGTTGTAAACGGCTTGTTGGCGTATTATTTATCAGACAAATGTCAAACCTGCCTCTCATGAATGATGTAAAGTCATTTTGAGCCACAAACAACATACCTGATACAAAGAAGAAGCTGCATTCAGTTTTGGGCAGTTTTGCATATTCTTTATTTATTCAGCTAAAAAGTCTTAGCGACATCAAAATGTCTTTCCTGACAGAGATGTGGCCAACAAGGCAGCAGAATTTATAAGAAATATGACATCACTGCTTTGTGAAGGTATAATAAGTGTCCAGCAGAGACTGGATTGATTCTAATGGAGGTACAATAAAGAAGAATCATATACTTGCAAAACAAGTTCACGCTATCTCCACGAACGCAATGACCGTGCAGAAGAGCAGCGGTGTTTTAGTTGTAGGGGCGCAGTTTTCGTTTTGCTGTTAAAAGCCGCAAAAATGCGCGCACGGAAGTGTAAATGTCTGTAGGTGGGCTGCAAACAACCTGTTCATCTATTGTTTTGTTTATAAAAACACGCAGGCAGAACTGACTGGCAGCACAAACGAGTTTAAATTTGAGCAGCAGCAGTGAGGGAGTGTGGTCGTTTAAGAACACATTGTTCGTGCAGGTTTCCCGCGTGTTTGTTTCAGAGAACATGGAGTTAACTTAGATAAATGAAGGAGAAGCCAAGGTTTAAGATGAGGGCGGACTGTATGAGGTCCTTTCCATAAACGCGAAATCTTTGCGTATCATTTTTGGCGCGTGCCACAGACGAACACGTCGCATCAGATGTTAATGAATTTACTTTGCCATGTGCGTAATTACGCGCATCCTTCTTGTTTTTGGGTTGCAGACTCATGCTCCTTGAACAAAGACAGCTGTCTGTTTTTAACAACTTCAGATATCACAGAAGATAAAAAACAAACAGATTTTTTTTGTTTCCATCTTCAGTCAGGAATCGTCTGCCAGTCTCACCCTCCACTCTGAGCTCACTTGTGAACAAGACCCTAAGATACTTCAAATCCACCTCCTGGGGTAATAACTTGTCGCTGTGCCAAAAAGTGATTTCTGATGTTTATATGTGTTTTCTTTTATGTGGAATTGGTAAATAGACTGTAGTCAACAGGATTTACAAAGGGGTTATATATAAAAAATAAAGACATGTCTCTCTAATATTTTTAATATTTTACCTAAATTATAACCAATCCAAACCCTTTTGGTCACGTAAACATTTTATAGAACTATTATGTTATTTTTGTTCCATTTCTCCTGCCCTCTTGGCTAAATCTCTCTTAAAAACAATTTTAATGCCAATAATCTTTTTAAGTGGATAAAAATGGGATATATGAAAGTCACTACCAAAAAACTGATTGCAGCTTCTACCTTGTGACCGGAATGTTGTTTGTGGCTGAAGATGACTTGATATCATTCATGAGAGACACGTTTGACAGATGTTTCACATTTTAAAGGCCAACTAGTCATTTATCTAATCTTAATCTTATTTCATCTTTGAAATTCAAATAAAATCTTTCACTTTTTGGCAAATACCCAAAACCACTTATCAGTTTCTGGCACAATACCGGCTTCCAAACCGGCAGAATATCTTTCAAAAAAGGCGAAAAATAACAAAAGCAAAATAAACAAAACAACCTGAAATGAATCATCTTGTAATGCTGTCGCGTTCAAATGATACAATGATGCCAGAATGTCCAACACGTCACTCAGCTGTCTTCTTCACCACCTGTGACCAGTCATTTGGAAATGAGCTCTCAGTGTAAGTACCTGGGTTTGGCCACTTGGGGGCAGCAGAACAAGACAAAAAACAACAGATATGAAGGTTGTAGAAGTTGCTGCGTGGACACACTTGAAAAGTGGGCACATGCCTCTGAGGCCAGAGGCGTTCTTGGGCTTAGGAGGGTTTAATATATACAGAACTATTATTTTTCATTTACTTGAATTAAATTATTTTGGAAATGATTATAAAATTATTCCAATCTTTTGTTATTGCCTGAGTAAACCATATGCCATGTAGTGGCATAGCCTCTAAATCTAATGTGTATTTGGCAGCCATTAAGTAAAAAGCATTGACACACTGGGAGAAAGCTGCACTTTGAGTTCCTGGTTGTTAATGCTGACCCACATTTACAGCAGGTCTGCAGCTTCCAGACTAATGATAGTGGTGGATCCACAGTGTTAGCAATACTGGATCAGATGGACGCTGTCTGACATTTCTTGTTGAGGAAAAAGGTCCCTGACTGTGGATTAGATTTAACATTTTCAAGTGTTCAGAATGTAACTGAGCAGCCCGTCTCCTTAGGGTCATTTTTGAATGCACTGCTTATGTGTGGATTTCCAGTGTGAGGAAGAACAAAACCCTACAAAAGTCTTGATGGGAAGCTTTATCAAAATGGAAAGTTAAGTTAAGCGTAATCCTGAAAGTGGAGAGGGTCTCTGCCTCCTGAATGCAAACTGAAAGCTGAAGCTAAAGCAGTCAGCAAAGTGCTCTGAGGTGATACTGCACTGTGAAGTCTTTCAGATAAGATGGGGCCTGATTAAAGTATGAAGCTATCATTATAGGGTCTTTACCTTATAATGTAAAGCACCCTGAGACTGTTGCTGTGATTTGGTACAGTACCTGAAGTGAACTGAATTCAGTGGGTCCTGCTCAAGCATCAGCTGGAACCACCAACACAGCTGCTCTCTTTGGTAGTCATTTTTTTTATGTGTGTGCAACCTTCGTTATCTGAGATTACAGACGTCTCTTTAAGCTGAAGTGATGTGTTGATGGTAAAAATAAGAACATTACTGTTATTTCAAAGCTTTAATGAACTTTGAATTATTTCATAATTCCTTTATGTGTCACGCTACTGAGTCTGTGACTCAGTGTTTTGTGTTCATTGGTTAATTATTGTTATTTGGTTCTCTTTGTTTTCTGCTTGTGTTATATTCTTAGTTCCTAGGTTTCTGTCACTTTGCCTTCCCCGTGTTCCACGTCTAGTCACTCTTGTCTCCATGTTCCCTCTGTCTCCCCAGTCAGTCATGTCTCCATGTCTAGGTGTAAAGTCTGTCTTTGTGAACGTCTCATGTCTCCTGTTTTATTTTGATGGTCCTTGTGCTGTGTTCCAGTGTATCTAATTTCGCTTCCCCTTGTCTCATTATGTCTGATTAGCCCCCAGCTGTGTTTCCCTCCTGTTTCCCTTTCCCTCGTTACTCCCTTGTGTATTTAAGCCCCGCGTTCTCCTTTGACCTTAGTTATGTTGTACCACTCCATGTGCTGTGTGCGATGGCCTGTAACTCACTGACCCCCAGCGCTGTGTTTACCAGTGTTCTAGTTTCCTGTTTAGGTTTTGTTTCTCTCTTGTTTTTGCTACAGCACAATAAAAGCTGCGTCTTTGAGTTCATCCTTCTGTGTCCATGAGTTTGGGTCCTCACCCTGCCCACCACAGCGCCAAACCTTGACGTTATTAAGCTCTATCTTGGAGAAACACACATTTGATTAACCTTTCATATGTGTTGGTGGAGGAGATATTGTGTTATCCCAGAGTAGCTGACTTTTACAAGCAGAGGAAGGGCACGAGACTTTTCCCTAGCTGTACGTTTCCATACGAAGGTCAACCAAAACCAGTTCACTCAGAATCTCACAGGAAAATCAAACTAGAAGTCAGAGAAACACAGTTTATTGAAAACTTTAAAAAACAAAACACACACATATCCAAACTTCTCCTGTTGGGTTTACACAAATCCCTGAGCCAGTCAAAAATGTGCTACTTCCAGTGTGGTATCCCAGCTTTTGCCAGAGACAGGATTTAAGAAGGACGCATAGAATTGAACCCTGATTAGAAATCTATAGAAAAGGGAAGAACAACAGAGCCCCAGTTAACAGCTAAAAGTGAAAACATATGAACTAATCAGCGTATTGCATAGATGCATGCCGAGTGGCAGCAACCTTTTCTCCCTTCTTATGGGTTATGGCATTAGTGAAACAGGGTCGCTACACAAATTTTCCAGTGTGCAGGTTTACTGTTGTGGAGTGGCGTATTTAAACTCTAACAAAATCCTTATCAGAGTCTAACAATAAGTGTAAGTGAAATAAAAAAAACACAAGAAAGCACAGAAAATGAAGGTCTTGAAGGAACCGAACCATGATGTGCTTTTTAACAAACTGACTGATTCTGACAGCAACCCTCCAACTTCCTGCACATGTTTCATACTAATGCAAAATGACACCTGATGAGTAACTGTGAGAATCTGGTGGCATCTTACAAAACTGCATTAATTACACTCCAGGATGACGTTTACCTTCCAGAAAAACCCGACTTCACTTTGCAGCTCCTGGCCCATTAACTCAAACTAAAGAGATAGATCTTTTAAACTAAACAAACATAAATATTAATATTTTATTTTATTTTTAACAGCTTTTAACTTTAGTTTATAGCCTGTCTAACATCACTCTAGCAAGAATCTCCTTGGAGTCTCTATAAGGATTCTGACCACTGAAAACTAAGTTCCAGGGTCCGCTCATCAAGGTGTCGTGGAGTTGAAGGTCGGTGCCCACTCAGGGTATGTATCCAGCGAAAACAGAGGAATTCCCCAAGTTGCCATGGCCAGCAGGAGGGAGAGGATTCCGATCGTGTTGACACCAAGCCCCGCCTTCACCTGCAGCAGACATGATCAGACACGAGGCTTGCAGTCAAGGATGAATGTTATACAGATGTTTCTTGTGAATTATGGCCAGCATACATTTAGTGAAAGAGTTATTTCTAGTGTCTGCTTCTCTTTTCTTATCAAAGAACTCACCATATCCAAGATAGTGATGTGTCCATAGGCATACACCACAGCATTGGGCGGGTTGGACACTGGCAGGAGGAAGGAGAAGGATGTGCACAGGGTGGCAGGGATCAGGATGTACAACGGGTTGACGTGTATGGCCTCGGCCTGAAGCGAGAACAATCTTCATAAAGCGCTTTGAGTGCTCAGAGTAGAAAAGCACTATATAAGAACCAGTCCATTTGATAATAATTTCACTAATTTCATAAATTAGTGAAATAACAGTCTCTAGTGTTCCATACACAGTAGTGTCATTGATGCTGACTAGCTGGAAATAAACCACTTGTTTTGTGGCAGGTCAGACAAAAAAGACTGTATGTTAAAGATGGAAATAGCCAACCTGACATCACCCTTTTATTTGGGAATTCAGTGTTGGCTACAGTGGCTTGCAAAAGTATTCGGCCCCCTTGAACTTTCCCACATTTTGTCACATTACAGCCACAAACATGAATCACTTTTATTGGAATTCCACATGAAAGACCAACACAAAGTGGTGCACACGTGCGAAGTGGAACGAAAATCATACATGATTCCAAACATTTTTTACAAATAACTGCAAAGTGGGGTGTGAGTAATTATTCAGCCCCCTGAGTCAATACTTTGTAGAACCAGCTTTTGCTGCAATTCCAGCTGCGGCGCTCGAAAATCTGTCAAATGTTTCAGTACGACTTTGCTGAGCTACGAAGCCGCACCGCTTGATGGATTGTCGGAGCATTACGGCTATCGTAGGCGGAGCCTCGCGGAGTGATACGTACTGTGCTTCAACATAATATTACCATATTGTGTGTGTATAACCTCTTTTTAAGTTTAGTGGATATTATACATGGTTATGCTGAGGATATGTCGGCCAGTTTCCACTTGAAATGCCTTTTGGTTAAACTGTCAGCGAGGAATTTGCATGCACATAAAAAAACAGCTGCTTGTTTAAGTGAAAATGCATTGATGTTTGTTTGTTTGTTTGTTTGTTTGTTTTTTGCACTAATAAAGTTGTGGAGTTGTGAAATATTTTTTTTAGTTTGAATTATATCGTTATCGCAAATTTTCAAATGTATATCATAATAAATATTTTTGGTCATATCAACCTGCTCTAGTCCCGTTTGCAGTTTTCCACAAGCCATGTGGGGGACACAGCAAACATGTGGAAGAAGGTGCTCTGGTCAGATCGCTAAAATGCAAAACGCTATGTGTGGAAAACTAACACTGCACATGACTCTGAACACACCATCCCCACTGTCAAATATGGTGGTGGCAGCATCATGCTCTGGGGGGCTTCTCTTCAGCAGGGACAGGGAAGCTGGTCAGAGTTGATGGGAAGATGGATGGAGCCAAATACAGGGCAATCTTGGAAGAAAACCTCTTGGAGTCTGCAAAAAACTTGAGACTGGGGTGGAGGTTCACCTTCCAGCAGGACAATGACCCTAAACATAAAGCCAGGGCAACAATGGGATGGTTTAAAACAAAACATATCCATGTGTTAAAACGGCCCAGTCAAAGTCCAGATCTAAATCCAATCGAGAATCTGTGGCAAGATCTGAAAACTGCTGTTCACAAACGCTGTCCATCTAATCTGACTGAGCTGGAGCTGTTTTGCAAAGAAGAATGGGCAAAGATTTCAGTCTGTAGATGTGCAAAGCTGGTAGAGACAGACCATAAAAGACTGGCAGCTGGAGCTGCAGCAAAAGCTGGTTCTACAAAGTATTGACTCAGGGGGCTGAATAATTACTCACACCCCACTTTTCAGTTATTTATTTGTAAAAAATGTTTGGAATCGTATGATTTTCGTTCCAGTTCTCTACGTGTGCACCACTTTGTGTTGGTCTTTCACCTGGAATTCCAATAAAAGTGATTCATGTTTGTGGCTGTAATGTGACAAAATGTGGGAAAGTTCAAGGGGGCGAATACTTTTGCAAGCCACTGTATGTTGGCTTTTTGGAACCAGAGGCTGGCATTTACAGACGAGAGAGAGCGGGCAGCTCATTGTGTCAAACGTGGTTAGCAGAGTATGTCCACAGTCGCACATATCAGGTAATTAACACTTAGAAATTTGCAAGAAACTACGCAAAAAATTGTGTGAAAAGTTTGTCCTTGAAGAAATTGATTTAGAAAAAAATGAAGTTGGTGTCAAGCGATGAGCTGGTTTAGTGGACGCTCATATTCAAGACAAGCAAAGCTTCGGTCAACGGGTCTGTAGGATGGCAACTGCTTATCCATTAGTGGTTTGTTGGTTAGCTACAGTCAAAGAAATTAGGGTTAAAGGGAGGGACCGTAAACTGAGGGACTCCTCAGTGTAAGATAAACGAAGATTATTTTCAACTGTGAATCATGCAAAGCTACTCTAGTAGACTGAGAGAATCAAATTTTCCGCAGATCTGTACAATATAAAACACTGAACTAACCAGAGGAGAGAGAATGGGGAGGAAGATGGTGATGGTGGCGGCGTTGCTGGTCACTTCTGTTAGCGTGGTGACAATGAGACAGGCAATTGTGACTGTTGCTAAGACCGGGAGGTCGCCCAGAGGTGTCATCAGCCTGGCCACCCACAAAGAGAGACCTGACTCCTGCACACACAAACAAACACACACGTTAAGCAGATTTTATACCAGCTTTAATGTATCTAACAGTTCTTTTTGTTAAACTAAGGGACAGGTCAGTTCTTTCAACTTCTGAAGAGACTAGTTTCTTTGGCTCACCTTTTCTATACATCATGTTGGTGTAGACACTATAAAAGATGGACATAGGTACCTGTGGTGTGATTGAGACACGGCGGGTCCAGAGGTTGCTCTTTAGAGTCAACTTTATTATAAACGGCTGCAGCTCTCGGCTGTCAGACGCTCATTCATCACACTACACTTACAACAATTTACACCTCTGCTTCCCCATGTTTTAACACTGGGGGTGCCCCGGTACCATTACATCAACCACTGGTTTCTGAAGGCCCATTTTGAAGATTTGACATGACGTTTGTGGACACTTGACCAGATGCGATGAGGACGTGCTGGTCTGACAGTGAAACCATTTGTTCATTAGTTAATGATTTCAATTTTAGACAAATCATAGCCAGAAGGTTGATTCTGTTCACCTGGATGTGGTGTTTTCAGTGGGAGAAACATTTCGTCACTCAGGGAGGAATGCTGGTTTAAGTGGGGAGTCAAGGAGACCATTTAGGTGAAAGGGAAAAGACCATCTCTGAATTGAGGAGGGGGCCTAAGGGCACATCTTTGTGATTGCAGCCGTTCCCTAACTCTCTGTGAATGGTACTCATGGGCAACGATCAGTGATCTTTGATCAATGGTTGTTGATCGATGGTCATGACAATTTGCATATTAATGGTCAAGGAACTGACCTCACAGCTTATTGTTCATTCAGTGGTGCTAGTTTCAGTTATCGTACAAATGTACTGGTCATAAGGTTGGAAACCTGCAGTCAGCTGAGACTGAAGAAGTCATTTGGATGAGTAATGAATAGGGATGGGTACCGGTGTTCTGACATAAACGGTAGTAACCAGACCGAAGAGCAGCGCACATTTCTGTGCTTTTCTTTTTTT